AGATAAAATTGACAGAGAAAAGCGATAAGGAAAGAATAAACCGTAGGTATGTTATTTAGTAAAAATATTTTGATATAAGCTATAGATTAAAAAATTACCCCATCCATACAATTAAAATAAAAAAATCAAAATAGCCAGAAGTGAAAACTAATAGCTTAGGAATAACTGTGTTTTTTTAATTGTTTAATTAATAATACTATTATGAATAATTAAAATTAGTGGAATAGTGTTAATAAAATAATATTTTTTAAACACAATTCCTCAACCTCTACATTTATGTTGACGGAAAAATTATCTCAACTTTAGGTTCAGGCTTTAACATTGTGATTTAAATTCATGTCTAGATGTTATCTGTCATTAAAATATCATTTTAAAACCATTTAAAAAAATAAAAGATACAAAAGTTCTTACTTTTTGGAATATGCCGTTAATTTCGAAGCTCTCCAGAGTAAATTGGAACTAAAGTACTGCAATTTATGTCATCACCGTTGGTTTGATTTACATATTGGAAATTACAGACTTTGTACTCTTTGTCACAAATTTCAATTAAAAAATGAAATTAATAATATGGACAATATTATGGATCCTGCACCTGGACCTGGATCCTGGACGGCAACCTGATGTTTAAAAAAAATAACATTTCTTGAAGAACAATGAATTACTCAAGTTCACCTAGTTATTATAGTATATCGACTTAAGTGTGATCCATTTGGATATAGTGTCCAAGTCATCAATGTTCATCAATATATTACAGAATTTACTATGTTCTTACCTGACTCTATTATTTCTATTTCAAAATATGATATTTTTGAAGAAATTAGGTTGAAATGTACAACGATTTTATCGTAAATAGTGATAATCTTAAGGCAGCTTTGATATATCTTAAATATAATAATCCTTGGTATGGCAATGTTACAATCGATGAAAACAATTTACAATATTTACCTGATAATAAGAGTGTTTTTCAACAATTGTATCAAGTCAGGACTAACATCTTTCATTTAATTTAGATAGTGAAGATGATGAGCTAAATACTTTATATGATAATGTTTACGAATCTGAAGCCCCAACGGACACTTTTGAATGTAAATTGCAAATCGATATCAAATTGATCGAATCGAATCGAAAATAATAGATCTTGTGTTTTACCTTGGCCTAGATTGCATTTTTTAATATAACTAATGAATTTACATGTAATAGAAATAGTTGCAAAGCATTTCCAACTTTATTTCCTACTGGTTAAGGTGGCCTTACAGTATTTTAGATTCTTTATGGTGTATGAAGATGGCAAATTTGCAAAACCTCGTATACCCTCGCAAAGTGCGTTTTTTGCTAGTTTATTAATCAAGACATATGACGCTGCGTGTTGCCAGTCTGCGCCAGACTACGTCAACATGTCACATGTAGCATATCGGTGTAGCGAACCCATAAGTTTTGCTGTTAAATCGATAATGTGAAAATATTGTCCATACTTAAAAATACCAATGCGTACAAAATTTCATAGCGATCGTATGGAAGTTAAAGAAGCCGGTGCATTCGCATCGGCGATTACAGTAAAAGTAGAGTTTTCGAGGATTTCCAGTTTTGCAAAAATGTATACACATATATATGTACAGAATTGGACTAAAATAAAAGATACCGTAATAATTTAAACAAAACACTTAATCTAACTACCTAACATAACACAGTACAGATGAATCCCTCAAGTTTGTGCTATTCCACAAACATTTACTAGCATGCCCTGCTTGTTTTGTTAACTGGACTTAACAAGATTAAAGATTTAATAGATATTAGTAAGAAAAGAGTGTCTTGAAAAGCCAACTACAACAACAACAACAACAACAACAACTATCTTGAATTGATGACATCAAAAAAGTTTCCATATGCACCTCGGGGGGCCCATATGCACCTCTAAGTTAACTAATCCACCCGCGTTGTAATTGAATGTGTATTTGGGTAGATATCCTGGTATTATAATAAGACCTGCACAGTTAATGAAAAGATAATGTTAGGACTATGAATATATAATAAATAATCTGCGAAAAAATCCGAAAAAATAGTTTAAATAAATAAATGTCGAATAAGTAAAGAAGTCACCGTTAATAAATGAGTAAAATCACGGCAAACCACTAGTATTTAAGAGAATTATCTTGTGAAGTGTACTATAGATAGTAAAATTGCTCAAATATAAGATGTTGAAGTATTTGTTATTGATCTCGTTTTTTTCTTTATCTCAAGATTTAATACAAGGTCAGATTGCATTGGCTAAGATTATAAATAAATAGTTGAGAAATCTGGCGATGATTACAACTTCGTTGTGGCCGATTGTCTCCTGTCATTTGAAATGGCTAAATAATTTTGTCATAGCTGCATGTCTTTACAATCAAACCTAAGTAACAATATTGCTACGTTCTATAAGTTTTGAGATCGGAAATTAATGTACGCCTTTTGCAGTATATATTACTGCTTTTGGTTCACAAAAGTCATTTATGGCGGGTCGCAAACACTCATTACATGAACAGTTTTGGCTTGACTCAGTCTCTGAGCAGTATATTCTATTACTAGTTTTTCACTTTTATGTATTTATTCTTAATCTATTAACGACGAAATTCAACTGAACTATCGTCACATTGCTGCCACTTTTAATATGCATAAACTTAACCATTTCCCTATCCCATGAGTCATATATGAACATTTAGATTGTTTAACTATTGTGTCTCTTTTGCGGACAGTTAATTATAATTCCTCTGTGGAAAATATTTTGTTCTTTTCTTACAAACGGCAATTTATCATTAACTGTGTAATTTTGACGACACGTTTGGCTCAGTTCGTAGTGACCCTACTTGCTGTGCCAGCGGTCGTGGGTTCGAATCCCGCTGGGGGCATTCATTTGTGTGATGAGCATAAATGTTTGTACTGCAGTCATGGGTGTTTATATTTATAATATGTATGTATTTTAAGTTATATATGTGTAGTGTATCAACTATCTGGTATCCATAGCACAGGCCTCGTAGCTTACCATGGAACTGGATAGTGCTGTGTGTTAATTGTCCCAACATATAAAAAAAATTGTTCTTGTCGTTAATTGTCATACGTTGACAACTAATGTCTACAACAATTGTCTTAGGATGTGTTAGGCATGCTTCAAGCGTTCGATCCCAACTGAGATGTAATTTTGGGGATTTGTCTTTCCGTCCCACCAGATTATGAAGCCATACCAATTATCCTCTCTCCAAGCTCATATCTGTCGCTTTCCTGTCATAACATGTTTTCTTGTCCTTTTGTACCTTTGTCATATTATGTACATTAGTCATATTATTCGCTCGTAAGTCACCAGCATATTAAGCTACTGGGGCTATGTCTTGACTGTCACGTGCAACATCCCTCTCCAAGAAGCAGGGGTATACAAGCTTGATTGTGATGGTGGGCTCTCCTACATTGGACAAACAAAGAGATCAATTAGAACTCGGGTCAAAGAACACATAGCTGATGTAAAACATCGCCGCAATACAACATCTGCAGTCTGTAAATATAGCCAGAATCGCCCAAGTCACTACATTCGCTTAGATAGTCTACAAATACTTGCAAAAGAGAACCGTTATCGCCCCAGGGTGATCCGCGAAGCTATTGAAATTAAGAAATATCCAAACTTCGATAGGGAAGATGGCTGGGTATTACCATCTTCTTGGGATCCTGTAATAAACATAATAAAATCTAACAACAAAAACAAATATAACAGATGAGTATATTATGTAGTTAGTTCATACTGTGTGGAACGCAATAATAACAGTAATTCTGATTAATATTTTTTGTCTTTATGGTAGCAATAGTGTTGCTTAATATTTTAACTTTAAATAATAGAAATCTAAATTAATATTTGAACTTCTTTTTAAGTTACATATAAAACAATAATATTGCTTAGATAAATAATTAATATTTTTAATTTTTAATATTCTTTATGGTTATACATAATATAATAATAGCAACACTAAATAACATTAGTAATTAATAAAGTTTTTTTAAAATTATTATAATAATAACAGCTAAAATTAAATAAATAATATTTATAATACTTATTAAAAAAAATTTTAGAAATAAAAATCAACAAATATTGTAAGGTACTTTAGTGAAATTTTTGAATTTTTGAAATCATCTTTGTAAAATATTGGGTAGGCACTGTCTGTATATGTGTTTGAGTCGTCTAAAACCTTAGTCTCTTCCAAGACCATGATAACTGTAAAGCATTCGAAACGTCGGAAACCAAAAATCAAAATAAATCCGCGAAATAATCCGAAAAGATAGTTTTATTTAATATTAATCTAAACTAAAATTTTAACGCAATAAATTAGTGTGTTAGGCGTGCAAGTTTTTCTCAAGTCAAGTCAATATATTTTCTCATCCATCAACAAAGCATATTAATATGTAATTATCATACATAGAATAGGTGCAGTCATTCAAACTTATTTAAATGCAAAATTGTAATTGTGAAATTAAAATTTCAATATTTTTTGGCGAAAATCTTTGTATTTAAACAAAATTAACAAAACAGGTGATCTACTTTGTGAGTTTGTATGTTTTAAGATACTTTTCGACTAACTTTTATGTTTCCTTACCACAAATTCATTATATGGTATAAATCAGCTCATAATATATCATATCTTAAAGTAGTATCATATTTTTATAAAATATTTTTCATTAAACTACGACTAATAAGTATATACTTACAAATGAAGTAGTTAAGAATAATAATAGCTATATTATTATTATATTATAATATGAGGAATGTAAAGATTTGCTTCGTGTAAGATTGAATTCGCGGCCTATACCTCTCAAGACCAATAGGGCGAGCACGAACACTTGTGAAAATGTATTCGTATCGTCATCGAGAATATTTTATATAGAATTTTTTGAAGCGTGGAGTAGCAGCTTAGATACCCATCAGATGATTGATCTAAAACCTAAATATGTTTTTTTATTTTTGTTTCAGTTAATTTGGAGCCATGGCGAGCAACGAAAAAAAAGACAATTTTAATTCTACGTAAGTGTCATAAAATTTTTATGAAGTACCGAAAAATTAAAATTACTTTTTTACTTTTTTTTTTGAAATGTTATTATTTTCATAATGAATCAGAACATATTTCTTATATTATATTGTAAATAATGATTGTGTATTCTGCTTTATTTTCTACTTGCGATTCACCCTCGCTCTAGACCTTAGGTACGTTTACAGTGATACTTCACTGTGATCGTAGCGTAACGTGTGTGAGGTAACGAAAGCAAATCATTCACACTATCTACAATAATATTATAAAAACTAAAAGTTTCTATGTTTGTATGTGCGAGGTAATCTCTGAAACTATTGATTCGATTCTGAAAATTCTTTCACTAATAGGAAGCTACTTTTTCGTCGAGTGCCATGGGCTATTTTTTATTTCAATAATAAGACTTGAAGTAGACCATAGGTCACTGTAAGCCACCTCGGGACACCTCCGAGCGTAGAGAAATCTTGGACCGATTTTCATCAAAAATAACTAAGAACACTCCCGACTAATTAACCTTTCAAACAAAAAGAAACTAAATTAAAATCTGTTCATCCGTTCTTTAGCTACGATGCCACAGACAGACACACACACACACGTCAAACTTATAACACCCTGTCGTTTTTGCGTCGGGGGTTAAAAATAAAACTTTGGATGTTTGTAGGTATGTATATACCTACAAACATCCAAAGTTGACACATGCTTCTTAAAATATGTAAAACATTTTACGAGAAAATTCACTTTGTATTTATATTAAAATGTTACCTTTTATTTTCTTGAGGTGACAATGCTTTAAAATAGAAGCCTTTGATAGCATTCACTTTACCTTTTCTATATTTTCTATTTTCTTTCAAAAATATCAGAAAGCTGATATCAATGTATTGAATAAATTTTTACATTAAAATATTATTATACTCGTATATAAAAAAATGAGTGAGGGTCTGACTCTTTCACTGAAGTTAAGTTCGAATTGGAGAGTTCCTATATTGTGAGGTTTTGGGTTCGTATCCCGGGTTGGTTCAAAATAGTTTATGGTTTTTTCGGTCATGAAATACTCAGCAGCGATTCGGAGTTGGGAAATTGGCGGTATATATATCTTTCTGTCAGAGAGCAAGTTAAACTGTCGGTGTGATCATGTCGAGTTTTCTTCCCATCTCATCGTTAAAGAAATAGAGTGTAAGCTTGTGTCTGCGCATACACTTGTGCACTGTAATATACCGCATAGATGGCTAGACCCAGTGATGTGGCCACCATAAACAAAATGGGTTAGAACTACGAACTACGAACGCAACCATTACCAGAAATGAAATGAACTACTAATTATTATTATTATAAAAATTGTAATATTAACTATAATAATAACAGCTAAAATTTAATAAATAATATTGCCATATTTAACTCTAACACTTATTATAATCTTTTTAAATGTTTAGATTTAAAATCAACAAATATTGTAAGGTACTTTGGTGCCATTTATAAATTATTGAAATCATTTTTGTAAAATTGATGGTACGCACTGTTTGTAACAAGTACATATATAATGAACCTTTGAGACGTCTAGAACCTTAATCTCTCCCGTGACCATGACTGTTGTAGAGCATTCGAAACGTCGAGAACCAAAAATCAAAATAAATCCGCGAAAAAATCCAAAAATATAGTTTTATTTAAAATGTCAAATATTCGCGTAAATCTAAGAAAGTATTACGAATTATTATTATTAACTGACAAAATCTGACTCTCAACATTTTGTGGTTAAACATATTTTTTTAATTATTGACGTTCGAGGCTATTGTATCCATCGCGTAACGACCGTTAGCGAGCTTTTTAAATAAAATATCCCATTAACCACTCTTCGTGTTATAAAAACCCTTTTAGTGGTATGGAAACTCCAAAATCATTTCATCATCAAAAAACAGTGAAGTGCGAGTCACGCTCACGCAAGACAATGACATGATATATGTATGTGTGTTACATATTTACTAATAAAAGAGAGTTCAAATTGAAAAGCTATTGAAAACTCTAGCGAGAATAAGTCTCTCTTAAGTCATTATTTAAAAAAATAAATATAATTGCAAAAATCATATTTGTTTAATTAGAAATAATACTCCAATTTAGAGTGACAAGTATTTTTTTTCTGTAAATTATGTAATATATTGATGTCAGGCTGAAAGAACATTTCTCGTTGTTCTATTGTATTGTACTTACCTTTTTTTACGGTCCCGCTGCTGGGTGCGGGCTTTTTTTTGTAATACCTGGTCGGATCAGATCATAGTTCACCACACTGGCCAAGTGCGAGTTATAAATAATAAATATGTTGGGACATTAACACACAGCGCCATCTAGTTCCATGGTAAGCTACGAGGCTTGTGTTGTGGATACCAGATAGCTGATACACTACACATATATAATTTTAAATGCATACATATTATAAATATAAACACCCATGACTGTAGTACAAACATTCGCCATCACACAAATGAATGCCCCCCAGCGGGACTCGAACCCGCGATCGCTGGCACAGCAAGTAGGGTCACTACAAAATGAGCCAAACGTGTCGTCGTAGTTGGTGGACATCAGATGTCTTTCAAGAACTAGTTTGAGTCCCTTACAAATGCAGTATCCTCATGATTCCATTCTATTACCGCGCTATGAAGTATAGGAAATCATATCGAAAATGATTCGCATATGAAAACGTGCGATATATGTATGCACGTGAAGAGATGCGAGACCCAGATTTGAACCCGCTAGTTGTTTTCTTTACTAATTATTATTAATCTATACATATAATGAAATTTTAACTGCGTCGCATCTGTACATTAAATATTTTTTTGGAAAACCTTATTCAAATAGACATTATTATCGATACAGAGGCTGAATCTATAGTTAATAGAATTTTTGTCTGTCTGTCTATTACCGCATCACGGAAAAACTACTGGACAGATTTTGATGAGGTATAATGATAGCTGGTTATCCGGGTCAACATATAGGATACTTTTTACTGCGGGAAAATATCTAATCTTTGAGAAATCTATACTAAACGTTAAAACGTAACGCTAATTAACTTATAAAAACTCTAACTAACCTCACGCTTAACCCTATTAAGACAATCTAAGTACCTCCATAGTCACGAAACATGAAACACGAATAATCCATAGTTTATGAATAATTGATAATATTTAAATAGCTCTTTATAAGAGCAAGGTGATATTCCAATAATTATATTTAAATAGTGGCTTATTCTTTTTGTGCTCTGATACGTCCTTTTGTGCCTTTTGTACTTGTAATACTACCTATATACAGACAGCCCCCTTGTTTTTTTGTTTTTGTAAGTGAAAATTTCTATAAGCAGGTTTGGATGGGGAGTATATCCATGTAAGTCGTCATCGACATGGTCACGTGGTGTTAGCGCTTACACTCAGAGTACCGATAGATGTCAAAGCCAGATAAATGTAAACAGTTTTAGTTTACAAATTTTAATTTAAGATCAAACAATTAATTTGAATATCCAAGAATAAAAACTGTTTATTAATTAAGTTTTAAGTGTTCACTTTAGTCGGCAGTCCTCTTGACTGCTGTTTTTTTACAAACAATAACCTACGTGTAACTATTTTATGTTTGTACTAAATTATAGATACTTATAAAAACTTTCAAAATTCCACACTTAATACATATTATTTGTACATGTAAGGCAGTGATAGCCCTGTGGTACTGTGTGTATATATATATACAGGGTCACTTTTAATTTACTGAAAACCTTTTGGGATTATACTATTTACATCATAACAACAACATCTGTAACAGGAAAAAATAATATTTCTTTAATTTTTATTTTCATACAAAAATAAAAAAAAAATTTTGTACCTTCTACACTTTAAAAATCTAGCATCTGGCCAAGTTTAAATGAGTAAGCGCGGCTTCCTACACCCCTCCACCCCTCCCCCTCCACCTCTCCCCCTCCACCCCTCCCCCTCCACCGGACACGCAATTTCTTTTGCTAATGCTGGACTATTACCGTTGAGAAGGTGCAATAAAAACATTTTTATTTTTGTTAAATTTAAGATATATTATTTTTCTTTCTTACAGATGTTGTTGTTATGTTGTAAAAAGTGTATTCCCAAAAGGTTTTCAGTCAATTAAAAATGACCCATATATATATATATATATATATATATATATATATATATATATATATAATCAAATTCTGAATCGAATCTGTACAATAAATATTTTTTGGAAAATCTTTTTGAAATAGTCATTATTATCGATATAGAGGCCGAATCTATAGTTTTTAGAATTTTATCTGTATGTCTGTCTGTCTGAGAATGCATCACGAGAAAACCACTGGACAGATTTTGATGAAATTTGTTATTATGATTGCTGGTTATCCAGGTCAACATATAGGATAAATTTTACTGCAACAAAATATAAATACTGCATCTCTTAGAAATCTATACTAAACGTTAAAACGTAACTAGGAACAAACTCCAGCAGAGCGTGGGTGAGCTGCTAGTATTAAATAAAATTAACTTAGTTTTAGTTAAATAATAAAATAAAACGACGAGATACACTTTAGAAATTTAATAAAATCAATATAAGAACAAATCAGTGATCTAAAATAAAGATATTTTCCTGGTAAATCTACTGAAGGTTAATAATTTTTGTACTTTGTATAATTTGGATTTATTGGATTGTAAGTTAAGTTTTAAGAAATTAAGGTACCTATTACGTAAAAATCCTTTTAGAATTCAGTTTAACTGTTTTATATGAAGCTGAAGAGAAATGAAATTAAAAAAAAAATATTTATTTATTCACAGTAAAGTTATCGATCTGGTTGCCAGTATACTACAGTGCAGTGTACAGTGTAATAGGATGTTGTTGATAATGACATCATTAAAATACCAGCCTTCTGTAAAGCATTATTTGCAATAAACGACCTCTGCCAGCCTTGACTAATTCTATTTAATGTGATTGTTACATATCACTGAAGCAGAACTGGATTTTACTTTTATTTGTCAATGAGAAAATCGACTCATTTTTTATTTGCGTTACGCTTCTATTATTTATTGCTCATCTAATTAAAGTATTTAGAATAGCGTAAAGTATTATTTTTATAATTAAAATACGTTTTTTTAAAACGGAAATTTAATTTTGGCTAAAGTGCACCTTTAAAATCTCACATAAAATTAATAAATTCATATTAAAAAAAATATTTTTACAAAACAAGCTTTTATAAAAAATAAATTCTGTGATGTTAATAAAAGAGTTTGATTTAATTTAAAGTTATTTTTTTTTTATTTATTAGATATGTATTCGTATTCTTTTCAGCAAACCCTTTCATTAGATATCTATATCATGATACCCCCATGGGGTTGCATAAAAAACATAGTTCGCCATCTTCGGCAGTCCGCCATGTTGGATTTAGAATGACGTCACTTATCTGACCATGCATTGTCATCTAAACTAAACGTCTATGCAAAATTTCAGCTAAATCGTTTGAGGATAACTGCTTTAAAATTCAGTTGCAAGGTTTGACCCGAACAAACATACAAACATTGCAAGTTAAATAAAAGCTTGTAATGATACATTCTTAGAATTACGCGAATATTTGACATTTTAAAATACCAGTAGCTGATGTGGTTAGTTCATACTGTGTGGATCGCAATAATAACAGTAATTCTGATTAATATTTTTTGGTCTATAAAGGTAGCAATAGTGTTGCTTAATATTTTAACTTTAAATAATAGCAATCTAAATTAATATCTTAACTTCTTTCAAATTACATACAAAACAATAATATTGCTTTGATAAATAATTAATATTTTTTAATTTGTCTAATATTTTTTATGGTTATGGTTACATAATATAATAATAGCAACAATAAATAATATTAGTAATTAATAAAAAAATTTTTGTAATATTTACAATAACAACAGCTAAAATTTAATAAATAATTTTTTTAAATGTTTATAAATAAAAATCAACAAATACTGTAAGGTACTTTAGTGCCATTTTTGAATTTTTGAAATCATTTTTGTAAAATAGTGGGTAGGCACTGTCTGTAACAAGTATGTGTTTGTGACGTCTATAACCTTAGTCTCTCCCGTGACCATGGATGCTGTAAAGCATTCGAGACGTCGGGAACCAAAAATCAAAATAAATCCACGAAATAATCCGAAAGGCTTGTAATAATTACAACACGTTCATTTCATTAGGATAACGTGGTGAATGAAACAACAATTAAAAAATAGTACGGAAATAGTAAGAAAGGATTTTTGGCATTTCAACCCTTATAGGGGTAAAAAAGGGTGGTTTCAAGTTTATGCGGAAATCAGTCATTTTTAGACTGCGTGGGTAGAGCCTTCGGGAAATGCCCGAAATATTCATAAAGATTATACAATATATCCACAGACGAAAAAGAATTACAATTATAAATATAAACAATTATTAATTACAGTTATTGTAAAATAAATAATACTGCAAATTGCTTTCGTTAGTTCCGACAACAACTCCAAGGGTAACGAAATCTAGTATTATTTTTTTTAATGATTTTTACTACATTTAGATTTTTTTTAATTTCAGAGCAAATTTGGCTCGTACAACTGGGTTTCAATCCACTTTGAGTATAGATTCCAAAGATATAATTAGCGATGAAAAACCCTACAAACCTTTCGAGCACCGTAATTTGGAACATCCTAATTCGTAAGTAACATTTTTACTATTTTTATATTTTAGTATTTTAGATTAAATATTAATTTGGATTTTTAATAAATATTTTTTACATTTAAAAAAATATTTAAATAAATTTTAATAAACACGTAATCTATATAAATGTATTTTTTTTTCCATTAAGAGGCTTTAGTTGCTCTCCGTTAAACAGAAGTGAATCTGCTCGTGACTGAAAAAACTTAATAACTATTCTAAGTCCGACTCGGGACTCGAACTCACGATTTCCGGATCGGCAGTCATACTATAATTACTATCGTCGTAATTGTGCTCATGTCCTGGGTTCGATTCCCGTGCAGGCCCAAAAATATAGATTTTTTTATTTCAAACAATTTTTTATAACAAATAATACTTTCAAATTTTATTACGCAAAGTAAATTTTTAAATCTGTATTTCACATAGCATTTTGTAATAATACTATTTATAAAATTCTTATTATTACGCAAACAAAAAAACGCTTGTGATTGTTGTTCTAGTGCACATGTTTTGCAGATAGCACGTTGGATCGTACGCGAGTGTTGCAATTCAATGAAATGTTTCTTATAGGCATGCATTATTATAAATAATGTATACTATTAAATACATATAAATATATAATTATTCACTTACAGACTTATTCCATTCTTATCCAAACACATAGAAAAAAGTCCAGCAAACGTATATTCTTCTGTCTGTACGTATGTCCGCGCTGATCTCAGAAATTACTAATAAATCTTCGTTTCTTCAGAGAGTATATTCTTGTATATTTATAAGCCTGAACATTTTTAGGAGTTGAACATTGAGTTTTCGACAGAAAAAGCGGTACTTGCTTTACTGGTATACCTGGGTGCTTAGACAAGATATCATTCTACAATCGTTATTTATAAAATTAAAATTATTTTCAGAACGATTGGTTCCATTATACATCTCCTAAAAGCTTGCCTTGGCTCTGGTATCCTTGCTATGCCAGCCGCCTTTAAAAATGCAGGTCTCGTTACTGGACTTATTGGAACTTTGATAGCTGGGATAATCTGTACTCACACAGTACATTTAGTGGTAAGTTCTAATATGTAATTACTAGTGACTCACCCCCGCTTTGCTCCGCTTCGCCTCTTGTTCGTCCCTATGTTGTTTCCCCATACAAACTTTCATCCCCATTTTCACCCCCCTAAGGGATGATTTCCGGGACAAAAACTATCCTATATCCTATATCCCAGAGTCTCAAACTATATAATTCCAGAGATAACTTCCTACAAACTTATTAACTTTACCTCTTTATAATATTAGTATTATATCATCTTAAGCTTTAAGAATCTATATATTAGACTAAGTCAAAACAGTTCAGTACATTTTTCTTCTCTTTTTATCAACCAATTTTCTTTGTTCTCGTAGCTTTTGACGAGCTTTAGTGATATCAATAAAAAAAATGATTAAGGTATAATTTTGACCAAAAAGTATTATTTATATTTAATACAGACCTATAATTCAAAGACCTAAATAAATTTACTATACGTTGATACTTGGCTAATGGCCATTGTAATACTTTATTGCTCAATAAAATGGTACATTTAACAAAAAAAAATGTAAACAAGAAAAGTTATTTGCAAAGACTGCTTGTGAGTTCGCTTCTAATGGAAGCGATCTCGGAAGCAATTACTAATAATAAATTATAAGTGTTAGATTGTTATTGTATGAATGAAAGACTTTATAGGGACAAAACCTTGAAAAACAGGTTATAAAATATGTAATCTATTAAAAGAATCGTTACTTTAAAATCTATTAAAACGATTTGTATAAAACTTTTACTATAAAGTAGAGGAATTTATAGTGAACAATGATTATGTTATATTGCTATAGGTGTTTTATGTTCTAAAATACGTTTGAAAATTTTTTTCATACATTTTAAATATTTAAACGTATTTTAAAATTATATACGATATTTTATATTTTATTATATAATTTCTTCTCTCTTTTAATCGTAAATAGGTTTTTATTATTTCAATAATAACGTAACGTTTAAAAGTTCATCATTGTAACCTTTTTCCTTAAACGCTTATTTATAACAAAATAATTTAATTTTTTTAAACAAATATACGGTAAAAAACAAATCAATTATCACTCACATTACATTCAAATGACGTAGTTTACGCGAAAAATCACATAATTATCTGCAGTTGTTGTAGAGGTTAGGCTTATCAAATCTAACATCAAAATAAATCCGCCAAAAATCCAAAAAGATAGTGTTATTTAAAATGTCCAATATTCGCGTAAAATATATAAGAAAGTATTATGTTATAACGATTATAATTAATAATTTCTTCTATCGAGGCATATAGCGCCTAGTATTCTACATGGCTTAACTTACGGTTGAACTTGGGAATTTCACATGCACTTTCTATAGAAATTTTCCATATTTTACTACTTTAACTTTTATTTCAGTGACAAAAGGTAGCCTTATCCTTCTCTAATATATTCAAACTTTTCTGCATACCAAAACTCATTAAATTTGACTCAGCATTTTAGAGATGAAAATATACCAATCAGACAGACGTATAAAATTAACTTTGCATCTATTATAGATTGGTTTGAATTATACATTTTAATTGAATTGTATAATTCTAACCACTATCTGTAACAAGTATATAACGCACTATCTGTAACAAGTATATGTGTTTGAGACGTCTAAAACCTTAGTCTCTCCCGTGACCATGATTGCTGTAAAGCATTCGAAACGTCGCGTCGAAACCAAAAATCAAAATAAATCCGCGAAATAATCCGAAAAGATGATGTAAAATGTCAAATATTCATGTAAATCTAAGAAAATATTTTAATTGTAAAATACTCTTTTTTTAATCAATTTTCTAAGTTAAAATCTAAGATAATATCTCGAAAGGAATAAATAATAACCATTGCTGTTTTATTACTTGTAAATATATATGAGTATTTTATTATGTAATGTATATATGTGTCGAATATATCAATTTAAAAAACTCTGTCACCGATTTTAAGAGGAAATTCATTTAGCCTTCTGAATTCTTATTTAAATAGCACTTTTCAAAGGGCCAATGTAAATGGTAAGAGGTCCCATTAAATATGGGGTTCTGCAAGGGTCAATTGTTGGGTAAATGTTCTTCCACGTTTATTTTTGCCCTTTCTTTTGTAAAGTAATTGCAAGATAATATATTATTCACCAGTCGAATGTCTCTTATACTTTACGAAAGTCTTAATTCTTGTTATTCACGTAAGTCAATATAAAAATTTATCTGATACAAATACATCCTATTATCCTACTAATATCATAAATGCGAGAGTCTGTGAGGATATATGGATGTCTGAATGTACAGATGTATGTATGTTTGTTATACTTTCACACAAAAACAAGTGTATGGATTTTAATGAAACTTTGCATTAATATAGCTCATACATCAGAATAACACATAGGCTACTTTTTATCCTGGAAAAATGTAGAGTAGAGGATTTGTTTTATAATATATGTACATATGTTATACTGAGATAGCAACTTTCATAATATAATGCTAGTATTGTATGTCATACAACTTGAGCTATTTATAGAGTAAAAGTGCCAAATATAAAATACCCTTTTTGTGTTTTTACGTATTTCTCTAAAACTATTAAAGTTGATATGGTAATATTACTTGATAATAAATTAAATATATTGCATAATTCAACGCTGAAAATATCATTTCTAAAGTACTAAGCTTTTTTATCCAAGCATGAGGGTTTCCTAATTAGGAATACTTGAGTTTCCTAAACTGAGAAGTCTCATTTTCGAAAAACCTATTTAATTTGAGCAATTTTGAATAATATATATATAATTAATGCTTAAGATGCTTTTGTTGGCTTACAAAATTAAATTAACAATCAATCTAGAGAAATCGTAATAATTGACTTTTAGTTTCTATGAGTTTTCACGAAGTTTTCGTTTTATAATAATAAAAATAATAAAAACTACACGCAAGAAAGTAAAGAAGTAGGAAAATACACCAAAGGCGGCCTTAACGGCAATTTCCTTCAGGCAATCTTTAGGTGTAGGAAACAGCAGTGTGAAGTGGAAGGGGTGTGAGCATATATTACACTAGCGACACACCCTCACTTCGCTAGGGTTCGTCCCTAGCTTGTTTCCCAATACAATTTTTTATCCCCATTTTCATCCTCTTACGGGATGATTTCCGGGATAAAAAGTATCCTATGTCCTTCCCAGGGTCTCAAACTATCTTCCCAAATCTGATCTAAATCGGTTCAGTAGATCCAGAGACTACCAACCACAAAGTTATTTTAGTTTCTTAGCAAGTAGTCTTGTTGAAAATGATTCGGGCATGCAAATATCTGGAGTACGAGACCTGGGTTTGAACACAGTTTTGTTTCTAAAGCATGTGCAATGCAAGTAAACTACCACTCCTACATAAATGTGTCAAAACTACAAACTATTATACTAAGTTTCATGTAAACTTAGCCAGAAAACATAATTTTCCTTGCAATATTGCTACTCCTTTTCAACCCATTAAGCTTAGCTTTTATATTTCTAAAAGCTTTTTATCCATCTTATGCTGGTGGCTTATAGCTGGTTATCCATGTAACTAAATCGATATGTTGTAAATAATTATAAGTATAAACTAGCGTTATTTCTGATGGATTTCTTTTATCAATTCGTCAAATGTTTTTATTTAAAGAAAAACATAATAAAAATCAATTAAAATAATATAGACAACAAGATATAGGAACTATATACTTTAAATAGGTAAGTCCATTAAACTTTATTTTATTTTAAACTAACGACTTAACCTCGGCTCGCCTCGCTCAAGTGCATCCTTAGGTGCCTATCTATGCCTATTAATACTGCATCTGTGATCTGGTGGCTAGTGTGTACGGCTATAGATTCGCGGGCTGGGTTCGAGTCTCTGGTCGGGCCAAGTATAGTAATTGAGTCTCTCTGTTAGAAAAGTCTCAGTAACAGCCCGAAGTTGGGTAGTTTCCGGTATTTCACCCCCTTTCTTCGGGGTGCAGGAAAAGCTTTTAGTCCTGCGCTTGAATTTTGATTGCTCGTGTCGAATTGTCGTCCCACCAGGTAGAGAGATTAAAATGAACAAAAAGTGTATTTGTGTCTGCGCGTACACTTGTGCACTATAATATCTCCTGCGCAGCAGGCTAGTTTCAGTAAAACTGGCCATCGTAACCAAAATTGGTCTGGAGGACATCATTGTCAGCTGTGATACTCCATAGTCTATGATTGTACTAAACGTCGGAAATGTGAGAAAGTAACAAACATACACACACTTTTTCCGCAATTTTAAAAGTAATCCGATTATCTACAGGTAAAAATATCACAAGAATTGTGCGTAGAAGCTAAAAAGCCATCAATGGGATTTGCTGAAACGTGTGGCGCCTCCTTCGCCTTCGGTCCCAAAAGACTGAGGCACTGGAGCGGATTTGTAAAGTAAGAAGTTATTTTTTTTTTAATGTAATTTTTTTATAAGTTAATGTGATATATAATAAAGAGAGCAATGTCTCAAGGTGTTTTTATAGTAATAGTATCTAGAATATTGTATTAATAAATTATTATTTATGTATTAAAATGTTAATACTTTCTTGGACTTACTAGATAAATAAGATTATTTTTTCAATGTTTTCGCGATTTCATTTTTATTTTTGTTCCTGACTTTTCGATTGCTTTACAGTAAATATAGTCGTGAGCGAGTTTAATCTTTTTTATATCTCAAAAAATTAGAAATGCATTCGAAACCTCGGAAACCAAAAATGAAAATAAATCCAAAACAAATAATTTACAACTTTAAACTTTCCTTTTTATTTGAAAATTTTAATGTCCAACGAATAGATAAGATCAAAATAAAACCGCATTTTTTCGAAATACTTAATGTTACGTGTAAAGTAAATCCAATGGGATCCTATCTTATTGTAAAAGTAACTGTTTCTTATACTTATCTAAATACAAAAGTTGATACAAATCGGTAGAGCCGTTTCTGAGATACATAAAATTTTATATACGTATTATTATTACATACAAGAATTATCTGATATTATAAGATTATAATACTTGAAAATTAACAAAAATATATATAAGTATATATGATTCCTTTGAACATCGCTACTGGGCTTTTCATAAATATGAGGAGGATTTATGTCATAATGAAACTAAGATTTATAAAAATATTATATGTGTTTTAGTAAAATTCCTTATTTTCTGTTTCAGGACTTTAATAGATTTTTCTATGACTCTAACGTATTTAAGCGTACTTTGTGTATATATCGTCTTTATTGGTTCATCTGTTAAAGAGGTATTTGATATTTTTATTTATTTTTTATTTACATATTATGTATAATATATAGTAAGCTTGTGTGTATTAATTTGTAATAATATTGAAATATATATATTATATTATATAAAAAAAAAACATTTTGAAACAAGCTATTATATCATATAAATTGTGAAATGTAATTAATTGATGGGTAATTTAATTTAAAGTTTATATTTTATTTATTCGTGTTCTTCTTAGAAAACCCCTTATCCATATCATGAGGGTGCATAAAAAAACATAGTCTGCCATGTTGTATTTAGAATGACTTAGCTAACCATGCATTGTCATCTAAACTAAACGTGTATGCAACATTTCAGCTCAATCGGTGGAGTATAACAGCTTTAAAATTCAGCTGCAAGCTGCATTGGAAGTTAAATAAAAGCTTGTAAAACATTGGAAGTTAAATAAATTTAAGAGACATTTGGGTATCTATACAGATAAATAAATTTGAAGTGTCTGTTTGTCATGTCAAAATTTCATATGCGTTTCACTTAATGCATATGAAATTATATAGGGTACTTATAAGAAAATTACAATTTTTAAATTTTTGTCTGTCTGTCTGTTTATTCTGGCTAATCTCTGACACGGCTGGACTGATTTTGACGGGACTTTCACTGGAAGATAGCTGATGCTATAAGGAGTAACATAGGCTACTTTTATTTTAGAAAAAGAATTAGGATCAAAAAAAATTAAAACATACATAGGGACGAACCCGAGCAAAGCGGGGGTAAGTTGCTAGTATGAAATAGAAACAATGTCTTTCTAGAAACTTTCTTATATCAAAAGTCGTAAATACTGCAATATTTAAATTAGTACAGTAGTATTAGTTTATTTTTAATTTGTTATTTCTTTACCAGGTTATTGAAGTGTACTATCCTGAGTACAACTTCCCAATTCAAATCTACTGCTGCATGACATTTGTACCTTTAGTTTTAATTTGTCAAGTCAGAAACCTAAAGTATTTAGTACCGTTTTCAATGATTGCAAACATTTTTATTGTCATTGTATTTGGTGTGACAATGTACTATATGTTTATGGACCTACCACCAATGAGTGAGAGGGAGATGGTAGCAAGTGTATCGCAGTGGCCACTCTTCCTGAGGTATGCTATATTTTATGATATCAAACGTGTAAATAGTATAAAAATACGATATAACGTAAAGTAATAGATATTATTGCCCTAATTATGGTTATTTTTTTAATTTTCTTAGTTATTTTTTTTTGTTTCAATTTCAATGTAAAACTGATAATATAAAAAAGTTATAATTGTTTAGTAGGAAATTTGATAAGAGATATTTTTGATTTTTTTTTTTGTAATACGTACATTGTAATATTTATATGGTGAATTTTTCATATTATTAGTAGGATTTTTTAAATTATAGTATATATATAATATAATATTACTTAATTTTGTTTTATAATTTCAGCACGGTAATATTTGCTATGGAAGGTATTGGAGTAGTTATGCCTATTGAAAATGAGATGGCCAAACCCCAACAATTTTTGGGTTGTCCAGGAGTCTTAAACGTTTCCATGGTGATTGTCATAACTCTTTATGCCATCTTCGGATTTTTCGGATACTTACAGTTTGGTGATGAAGTGAAAGGAAGCATAACGTTGAATCTACCTCAGGATTCATGGTAATTTTAGACAAACTTAAAAGAATTCTTAAACTTCATTATGTATGTATGTATATATAAATAACCGTAATTGCTCCTTAACTTGTAATTTAGTATACCGGTCTATGGGATTTATGTAAATTTTATTAAAATTTTTACTGTTTTTAAATACATATTATGTTGTTTGAATAAAGTTTCGAAGTATTGGAAAACTTTTAAGTAGTGATATACTTATCACATAAAACTAATGATTGGTCTAGGTTTTAGTTGTCCTTTATTAATTGACAATGGGAACCAAATTACATTTGTTGGAATGCAGTATAACTCTGGTAGTCTTGTTAGATTGATATGTTTCTACCCTAAACTATACAAATACTCGTAATATTCTATTTGTACAACATATATAACAAAATATATGTATATTAATCAATATAATACATAGACGGGTACTTAAATGATTAAGATTAAAAGTTTCATCACAATTTTAACAGCTAAAAAGTGATTAAATATTACTTTCAGTTTGCAAAATTTTATTATGAAAAGTTTCCTATCCATTATGTAAAAGTCATAAATAAAATGGTATTCTGTTTCAGGGTTGCACAAGGTGCTAAACTTTTAATGGCGTTGGTTATATACCTTTCTTTCGGCCTTCAGTTCTATGTACCTATGGAGATGATACAACGTCTTCTACTACAGAAATATTCAAAAAAATATGAAAATTTAGTTCAAATCAGTATAAGGACGTTTATCGCTATTCTTGTCGGTAAGTAAACGAGGTTAAAAAAAAACTACATATTATAATATATTTATCAGTTAAAATAATAAATTTTGCAGCTTTAATTTTAAATTTTCCGAAATTTTATAATTTTCAAATATTTGCTACTTGTATAATCTTGATATTTTTCTATACTAATATTATAAAGAGGTAAAGTTTGTGAGTTTATGAGATTGTGAGTTTGTGACGTTGTAGGGGGTAATCTCTGGATCTACTGAACCGATTTAGATAAAATTTGGTAAGAAGATAGTTTGAGACCCTGGAAAGGACGTAGAATACTTTTTATCCCGGAAATCATCCCTTAAGGGGGGTGAAAATAGGGATGAAAGTTTGTATTGGGAAGCAAGCTAGGGACGAACCCGAGCGAAGCTGGTACATGAATATTTTTTTATATATTATATTTATTTAAGTAATTTATGTTTTGCGTTAACAGTGGCAGTGGCTGTGGCGTTTCCTAATCTGGAACTCGTCATCAGTCTGGTTGGGGCCATCTTCTTCTCTACTCTGGGACTACTCATTCCTGCAGTGGTCGACACTGTCTACCGATGGGAGAAAGGCTTGGGCAGATTCAACTATATTTTGTTTAAAAACACAATAATAATTATTATTTCTATCATTGCTTTATTATCTGGTTCTTATGTATCTATACTTGGTATGATAGAGGAGTCTTCACAAAAATCCGATATTCATGTTAACTCTACGATGACGTAATTATAATAATTTATAACTGATTTGGTTATTTGTCCGTAACGTTTTCACGCGGCTCCGGTCGCGTAGTTCATTGATGTTTTCCGCTCTATAGGTACCTTAGCGAGTGTAATTTTGTTAGTTTAAAATCCCCTTACATAAACTGTCTAATGACCGCAAGATTAAAACTTTAGTTATTTTTGAGATTTTGCGATCGATCAGTAATCTAGTGAATGTTACTTCACTTTTATATATAAATAAATTTATAGACAATAAATATTTCAATTCAGTTCAGTACAATTCAGTTCAACTTAGTCCAATACAGTTCGATTTGATTCGATTCAATTATCAAATATTATGCTTAGCAAAATTGGGGGCCACAATTTAAACAAGAAACCTTCATTTTATGCTTCTTTATATAAAGGTTCTTCAGTTATAGAATTGAAGAACGAAGTATAGAATTCGTTTTGTAAAAAGCTCATTTCTAAAAGGCCCTAGTTGTCTTTTCATACTCCCGCAGTAAATGTTTGTATAAGCAGTATTTAGATTCTGGGTAAAATAACACGACTTCGAAAACCGACATCAATATAAACTGATTTGATTACATAAGAACTTCTTTTCATTACTGCTTATAAAATTTTACTATCAATCTTGTAGCTGACGATATTTAAAAACTTATAGTAAACTAGCATTGCCCGCGGCTCCGCCCGCGTTCAGGTGACCAAAAACCAAATTCTTAGGTTTTACATAATACTATACTCTTACACTGCAGTTTTTGTATTTTTTCTCAGAAATGAGATATTTTCCCGCGGTAAAAAGTATCCCATATGTTGACCCGGATAACCAGCTATCACCATACCAAATTTCATCAAAATCTCTCCAGTGGTATTTCCGTGATGCGGTAACAGACAGACAAACAAAAATTCTAAAAACTATAGATTCGGCCTCTGTATTGATAATAATGTCTATTTCGATAAGTTTTTCCAAAAAATATTTAATGTACAGATTCGGCTTGGTTACAATTTTATTATATGTATAGATTAATGCCAACTTTTTTAATTTATTACGTTGGTCCCTAGGTACGTTTTGACGGTCAGTATGGAATAAATACGTAATTTTTTTATGATCTATTTAATTTTAAACTGATAAAATAATTATTATTATTTTAACTTATTTTAACAAAAACGTTTTATATAAAACAAATATTACAAATATATGAACTGCTAATTACGGTCTAGTTATTCTTTAACTAAATCGTTTATTTTTAGATCCACTATGAAGTTGTATATCTTATTTCCACCTCCTAACACTGTTCATTTCAATTAAAAGTCTGGCCCTGGTCATTGAGATATTTGGTTGTAAATAGACCTAGCATGAGTACGTCCGATTATGTAAGAAATGATTTGTCTTTATATAAGGACATCATTACAATAAACAAAATGTAATTTAGTTTAAGTAGAAATACATACATAGTTAAGTATTAATTAAAATGTAAATTAAAACATGTCTATGGGAGCATGTCGTTATTATTGTAATAAAGCAAATAAATGGATATTTGCATTGGATATTGCATTTTATCCAGTTACAGATTAATCGAATGCAATTTTGAAATACAAATTGAAGTGAAAAACCTACACCAATTCATTAAAAATTGAATCATAAATATCTTTCTGTTTTTACTGTTCTTTACAACGAAACCATTTAAGTTATGGAAATGATAAGACAAAGTGGAGTGTAGTGTTTTTTTTTTGTCAAATCTTGTTTTGTTGTACGGGTCTATATGTAAGAATATTGTAAATAAATATATTACAAATAAATTATTATATATATACGTAATTATATAAGGATTTTTAATTATTATATTTACAACTTTGGTTATATTCCCCATATTTTATTTGAAACTGGCGTCTTACCCTCTACGTACTAAGTTTCGTCCAAATCCGTTCAGCCGTTCTAGCGTAAAGTAGTAATAAATATACAGACCGTTACTTTATAATAGTAATCCGAAATTATAATGGTAATTTAAAAAAAAAAAAATTTATGTGTCGAAAAATATTTTAGACTACCTAATTGGTCTAGTGACTGGCATTAACGATTTCACATCCGGGGGTAATGGGTTCGAGTCCTGGGTCAGGCCAAGTGAAGTTATTCTATTTTCTGTCAGAATTTTGAGTAGCTCAGAGTTAGAAAAGTAGCGGCTTTACGCCCTTGTGTGTCCGAGAGCATGTGTAAAGTCCTGCGCCTGATCTCTTACTGGTCATGTCAAATTGTGATCTCAATGGAGTTAGAGAGTGAAAGGAATAAGAAAAAGAGTGTTTAGATGGCTAGTGCTCAGATGAATAGTCTCAGTGACATTTTCAGCAATGACCGAAAGCAGTTAAATACAAATTCTTACTAATTAACTGTATTGTAAATATCTCAAGCCTGGTTGTATTAATTTTTTTGTTTTCATTCCTATGCTGTTGTTACTCTTCGTCTCTCTGCCTTACGAAATAAATATAAATAATATAATATTAAATATTATAACTCGAGCGAATATCTCAGGATCAATCCATCCAATTTATTTTTTCAAACGTAATTTTATCTGGGTATGACAGCAGTGAAAATCATGAGATAGAGAACTACACGTACCACACATCGATCAAATATTCGTGGAAAGTAGAATACACAACGGTCTTCAAAGGACTAATGCAATTCAATTGGTAGTTCGTGCAAACGAAAAGAAAACATTATGAGAAAATATCCTACCACTATTTAATTCTTTTATCTAATACTTCCTTGTTTCTAGGGACCCGTTCTGAAAAGAAATAGACATATTTATTTAAAACTAGCAGAACTAAAAAATTAGGTTTCATACAAACTTTCATCCCCTATTTTACCCTCTTTCTACCTTTTGCTGCAGGGATTGTACTTTGCATTATACTATTCTTGGAAATACAAATTTTATCAATTTTAACGATTTCGATACAGTAAAGTGTCGGAGGTAACCGGGCTTGAAAAAAAGGACCTACTCATAAAAATTATATTTTTTGTGTAATATTTTTAAGTGGCACGTAATAGCACACATTTTAGCACATTTTTTATTTCTTAGAAATTCGAAAATAGCGGCGTCACCATTATGGACATCAAATATTCGCGTAAATCTAAAAATGTATTAGTTGAGTGTGAGTTAAAAGTTGAAAGAAGCGCTATAAATTGTAGCTTTTCGTCTACAAAATATATTTTATTGGTAAATACGTGACATGATTACAATATTATGTAATGGTACGAAGCCCTCGATGCGTGAGCTTAACTTATATTTGACTGATCCTTCAATACCACATTTTCTTGAAGAATTTATACAGAAAATTTTGAAAGAAAATAAAATAGAAACCACAAGGCAGAGAACGATTAATATTGTCCTAGTTAAAATAATATTGATACCTTTTAGAGCTTGGTAAATAATGATAAAGAAATATAAAAATTGAAGTTTTCCTTTTATTTTTGCAGCCTGGAATCGAATGGAGGACCATTAAAATATAAATAGTATTACATAAGAAATAAACCTAATCTCAAAACAAAGAAGCAATAAATTGAATTTCTTTGAGAACATTATTTATGTCTCTACTTGGCTCTTTTACAACACTTAAGTTGCTTTTATTAAAACCAAAACGAATGCTTTATATTGTGTCGATATCTATTTACTGATCTGTATTATTTATAACTTGAATTTATTGACACTTAGTTAAAAATTTATAGGTACGTTTTTCAAATACAAATAAAGTAAAATAAACTAAAGTACAGTGGCGTTATTCATATCTGCACGGACATCTGTTATTTTGGACATATATAAGATACTCATATATAAGGTTCTACATATATGTATAAGGTCACTAGCGACTCAACCCGCGGGTGCGTCCCTAATTACATTTTAACGTTTAGAATAGATTTCTCAGAGATGAGATATTTTTCCGTAGTAAAAAGTATCCTAAATGTTGACCCGGATCAATTCATCGAAATCTTTTTTTTTTGTTTTATGTATGTTCATCGATTATTTGAAGATGCCTGTTGAACGTACCGACTTCCAGGCACTAAAATCTAAAAAATAACTATACGGATGTTTTCATTTAGAATAGATACCTAATCAGATATTTTCGAAGTCGGTGCCAGCCTACAATATATATAAAAGAATATTTATACTTTTAAAAAATTAAATATATGTAAAATTATAGCAAAATAATTTTAAGGTTAGATCTTGTATGGACCCTTCGCCACTGTGAGGCAGTCCTATTTGCACATACATTCATATGCGTAGGTTATAGTGTTAGTCGAAGCTGTATTAACGTTCATAAGAGACTGAAAAGCACAATAAAATACAAGTATATTCTACATATGGTGGATTACAGTTCCTATAGAATTAAAGTTAGAACATGAACAATTCATGAAAATAAACTCAAAGTTGTGTTATCTTTATGAAATTATGAATGTGACATTGTTTTTTTATTTGTTTGTTTGAATGTGCTCATCTCAGGAACTATTAAACCGTTTTGAAAAATTATTTTTGCATTAGATACCCCGTTTATTGAGGACGGCTATAGACTATCTATACTAATATTAAAAAGAGGTAAAGTTTGTGATTTTGTGACGTTGTAGGGAGTAATCTCTGGATCTACTGAACCGATTTAGATGAAATTCGGTAAGAAGATAGTTTGAGACCCTGGGGTGAAATGGGGTAAGGGGGTGAAAATGGGGATCATACTTTTTTGGGCAATCAAGCTAGGGACGAAGCGAGGGTGAGTCGCTAGTATATCATATAATATGTAATCTTTTTTATTCCATACTAAGCGTTAAAACGTACCTAGGGTGAGTCGCTAGAAAAAATTAAAATTTAAAACAAACAATTAGTGGGTACGAAACGTATTTTCCATAATAATATTATTTGCATGTAGATTTTACTAAATTCAAAGAACTCCAATTCAATTTTATAACATACCATTTAATATAGAGTTGAAAAAGACTTACTTTACATATTGTTTTTAGCATTTTGCATTTCAATCAAACTGCTGACAAAAGTATCACTCGTGTAACGAATAATAATAACATGAATATTCATTAGGTACGTTTGATTTAAATATAAATGAACATCAAAATCCTCTTTTTCTCCTTTTCTATTATCCGATTGCACGCCGCAAAGGAGGGTAATGTGTTTGTCAGCCTATGTATGTATGTTTGTTCCTTTGTGGCATTCTGGAGAACAGCTACATGGGCCGATTTTGATGATTCCTACATCGTTAGATTCGTCTTGATAATGCGATTGTTATAGCGAAGATATAGTATAGTATAAAAAAAGTAAAAAATTAAAATGACCGATTTCAGGCAGGCGGCAGGCAGGTGTGTCTTTAAAAAAATCTTCCAAACCAATCGAGTGGGGATTTTTAAGCGGACTTTACAAAAATATAAACAAGCTATATGTTTCAACGTAATTTAGGATATAAAATTGCTACATATAACTTCAAATGTCTAATTGGCAAAACATTAAATAGCTGTAAGTAAAAAAATATATTATAAAAATTAAAATAAAACCGACTGCATAAAAGCTAACTAAAAATACGAAAAAAAGTTGATGAAGGACTATAGAATTATGCAGTCGGAGACATACATATGTACCAGCCAGGATGAAACGTATACTCGTATGTCTCCGACTGCATACCTAATACTATATTCCTTCGTCAACTTGTTTTCGTCGTTTTAGTTAGCTTTTATGCAGTCGGGTTTTTATTTTTATAATGTAATATGTATATTGCAAAACCCTACAACACGTATAAAAGTTAAATATACAAAATAATTCAATAACATTTTTCAGTGAACATAATGTAAATAAGTTACAAGTAAATTTTACTCTTCCGGTAACCAGTTTTAAAGGCATAATGAATCTGATCCAATATTATGATTTCGCACTATTAGTTGTTTAATTATAAAAAACTGAGGCTTAAAATTTTTGTTAAGTATAATAAGTATTCTAAAATGTATTGTTAATGTAATCATAATTGTTTAACTGCACTGCGATCATTCGCTCGTACTATTTTATTTTAATATATCCTGATAAACAAAATTTTAAAATATGTATGTTGATATAACCGCATTTATTTCATATCCTGCTCTATATTTTAAACATACCCACTTCCTTTTATTTTAAAAATGTATATTTTATTGACGTTTGTCCTATATTTCAATATTTTAGTGAAGAAAATCCAATAATCGAGAATGAATTGAAATCACAAGACAACAATTTGTGGTGAATCAGTAAGTTATATAATGAAATTGCTTTTTGCCTTTATTGTAGAAAGATGTCATAATTCTGATAATATTTATTATCTTAAGCATTTTCCCGTAACAGGTAAGCCTATTTTTATTTTTAATAAATACCAATTTTTCCTCTGGAAAAATAAGGAAAATCGTTTGATAATATAAATTACTTGCTATAATAATTAATTTTTAGTTAGCTTATTAAAGTCTAAGAACGTAGCAATCGCTGATTACTTCTAAATATAAGTTAGTATATTAACTTTTACTTACCTTTGTATATTTATTTAAAAAAAACCTTTGTAAGTACTATAACATAAATTGGTTTCAATTATCTCATATTGTAATCTTTTAAATAAAACTATTTGCGATTTCATTTTTAATTTTTGTTCTCAACATTGAAAGCTAACATGGTCATCGGAACGGCAAATTTTTAATGTTTAAAGGCAATTTTCTAATAAATCTTCAATGGGAAACAATATCTGTCCTTTGCCTCTGGCTTGATTTCATTAGCTATTCAGAGTAGAGTGCAAGAAAATTTAAATTCCGTGTATAAAAAACATGGTATTCATAGTAAAGTTACTTTTGAAATAAAATAAAAAAAAAACACCATCTTAACTAAGCGAAAAGAAAGCCCTTTTTGGTTTCTATTAAATTATATATTACTTTATTATTGTCATAAAGACCATTACTACCATTATCTTTAATTTTACCTCTCTTACAAAATTAAAGGCTTAATTATCGGACCAATAAACGATTTTCTTCGAAATAATAAAAATTAAGTCTCTTAATACATACATGCTTTATTATTTATTTCTTACTTCTTACTCTTATGATACATTACTTCGCATAAGTTGTTCTTCTGATATCATTTTACAAAAAAAATTACGTCTCGGGTTCTTGTGGGATTGGTGCTGGGATTATTGTACGTCTCAATTGTGTAACTCGTAAATTTGTTACTGAACTGTTCTCACTCAAGCGGACTTGGAGCGGGCCATCAGGGAAAAATCTGCTAGAGAAAGTAACTTCGCCAACTCCACAAATTACTTCTACTGAACTAGCATCAACATATATACTTATTTTCAACTTACTTCTTGGTTTCCATTCAGTGCTGCGGACCCCATCTTCCCCACCGCGGTCGAGACTCACGATACCGGACTGGGCATCATAAGAAATTGTAACCGCTGAACGATTATTTACATCGCTATCCGAGGTTTGCGGTTCAATTGTTATACTTATATTTTGTTTTCTTGATGCCTTTATATTGATTTCAGCAGCATTATCTTCCAAAAGGATTACTGTATCACCAGAAGATTTTCCTTTATAAATCGTTCGACCTTGAGCTGATTTCATTTCTGGTAAAGGCCTTTGTATTAAGCGGCCGTCTTTTGTCAGGGATAGTATTCTAGGTATTGTCATTTGGCCGGTGAAACCATCAGGTCCTTCAGGATAATTTTGTTCCCACATATCCATCCAGGCTATAACAATTCTACGTCCTTTTCTGTCTAAAATAGTTTGCGTAGCGTAAAAATCGTGTCCATGATCCAATTCTTGGAATTTTTTTATAGGTTTAAATATCTTTGTAGAATAATCAAAATCTCCTACAATATACCCAGTTTGATAAAGGTTTCTATATTTATTACCTTCAGGCCGCATCCCTTGTGGAGAGAAAAGTAGAATAAAATGACCATCAAGCTCGAAAAAATCGGGGCATTCCCACATAAAACCGAGGTACCCATCTGATTCGTCCAGAATAGAGACTTGTTTCCAGGATATTTTATCATCTGAAGCATAGAGAAGAACTCTTCCAAGGGTATCATTATTGAAAGAATTACCTAAGACCATGTAATATGTACCACCATGTTTCCAAACTTTTGGATCTCTTAAATTGGGTTGATGTTCTTCTCCAATTATTATTGGGTTTTTTTCGTACTTCTTTACCGTAATACCATCTGTGCTGATAGCTAAAGCTTGCCGTTGTTCGTGGTCGGGGTTTTCCCCTGGATGGTTTACATTTCCTGTATAGTAAAGGTACATTGTATTATTCTCAACAATGGCACTACCTGAAAATACTCCACTCTTATCGTAGCTTTGATCGGGATACATCGCGATAGGAAGATGTTCCCAGGAGACTAAATCTTTACTTTTGGCATGGCCCCAATGAGCTATGCCTGGCTCTAAGCTACTTTCAGGATTATACTGATAAAATAGATGGTATTCTTTTTTAAAATAACAGAATCCATTGGGATCATTCATCCATCCAAATGGCGGAGCTAAGTGGTAACGCGGGTAGTAACGGTCGTTGATTTGCGCGTTGGTCCTGTAAAGAAATAAAAAAGCCGTTAAAAATATAAAGCAAAATGTTCCCATCGTCACAAACTAAGATGGAATCGATGATAACTAAATAATGAATAATTCACTTCCGCTTCTCTTAGATTTTATATAGTTGTAGTGTCGTGTCTCTTGATTGTTACTTTGTATAAATGATTGTACGTAAAGTTTTTGTTATCTAAATTTGCTACGGTCGTGGTTTCAAAGGTAAATTATAGTAGATAGTTTTCATATGACTTCTGTCATTGCACTATAAGATTATGTTAAGAAATTATATTTTTTTAATTATTTATCTTCGTATTAACAACATTAAAAAAATTGGTATCTGAATATCATTAATCATATCATTATATACATTATTATTAAGTTTTAAGAATCATAATATGTGATTATTTTTATTATTATTGACTCCAAAATAAGTTTTGGATAGTAATGGTTACATAGAATTAGGTTTACATATTACATATATAATCAATATTTATTTAAAAAAATATATGCATTATATAATTTAATAACGGCAATTAGTATAACGAACTTAAAAACACTGTTCTTATGAAATAAAATAATTATAGGAGTTGCACGTACCTATGTAATCATTCCTTTATGTAAATTGCATGTGGGTGGAGCTTAGAGTGCTATTATAAACCTACAAACACCATTGAACAAAACTTATAAATTATTTTCAGTAAATACTCATATTGCTAAATATATAATGTAGATAATAAAAATATGTATATCTGTACATTATTGTATTTTTTTTTATTTTAAAAATTAATAATAATTATAATCATCGGTACTTACACTAATATAAGTTAATAAGGAATAGGAGAAGCCTGGTTTGATTAGGTTAGTTAGCTTTTCGCAGATATGGCCCTCGATGTTTGTTCACCTCGTCGTTTTCGAAAAACATATGAAGTCCGCCAACCCGCTCTTGCTCAGCGTAGTGGAATATGACCCGATCCCTCTCGTATTGAAGGGACGCCTGAGCTCAGATGTGGGACGTTATAAAGGATTGCATACAGTCGCATCAAGCAGTGATCTTTCAGCAATTTTCTATGATTACACAAAGATGGATCCCAGCCAATGCATCACATAAAAGAAATTTAAAAAATAATACTAATAATAATAAAATATGTTCTTTTACTTGTTTATGGCAATCTAATTATATCTATTTTATATACCTAATTATATATAGCATAAACAAAATTTTCTACATATTTATAGTATCACACAGTAAATGTGATAGTTTAAAAAGCTTTTATAAAGTCTTATTAGCTCTATAATATATTTAAACACATAAAATAAAAATGTACGTAAACGAAGTCACCAGGCTTATTAACATCAGTATTATGTTGAAGCATCATTGAAATAAAGCTAAATTTTATACAATTTCACACGACTCCTTGTAGAGTGTATTAAATTTTAGAATATTTCTTAAATCTTTGAAATCTTTTAAATATTTGAATTTCCTAACGGTACGAAGTGTTTCATTAAAATATCCGTTAGTGGATTGATCTCTTGATATTGGTACTTCATATTTCGTGTCTTTGAAAAAATATAAATATGATATATTCTGTGTAAATATTTATATATTAGAATAGCAATAGTAATTTGTAGAATTAGATATTAAGAAGTATCCCAACATTCGTGTAACAGCTGCTTATTTCGGCTGGTGTTTGATACGATTTTTTAATAGTTATTTTACTTTATCTAGACTAGAATGAACAACATATATATTTCAAATGTTAATTTTAAATTATCATGAACGTGAGTATGGTTTTAAGTATAGACGTTAAGTGTACAAGCTAAATTAAAATTTATAAAAAATATAACTGTAACCTCTACAATATAGGGTATTTTATGTGATGTGGACAACGAAAAAAGTGAGGTTCTAAAATTCATTTATATTAAGCATATTAACAACTTAATTCTTTGTTACAGCTATAAAGTATCACTGCGACCATTTCCCATATATTGTATCTAATACTAGCGACTTACTCTCGTTTCGCTTGGGTGAAATCCCTACGGACCTTTTAAAACGGATAAATATAAAAAAATATATAATTAAAATTATATACTGGATGGACATAAAATGCGCTATATATCTTGTGTCGAGATATTTCCAAATATACAAAATAATGTTGAAAATTGACTTAATTTATTACTTAGAAGCATTTAACATTTAATAAGTACCTCACAATGAAAATTTTGTGTAGCAGATGAAAAAGGTGATCTGTTAATTTCAATTTTTTAAAGTCCATGTATAATATATAAAATAACATGTTATTAGAGTTAAGTTACTTTTGGAAATAAAATTTAAAAATACCATCTTAACTAAGCGAAAAAAAGCCCTTTTTGGTTTCTATTAAATTATATATTACATTACTATTGCTATATAGACCATTATTACTATTATCTTTAATTTTACCTCTCTTACAAAATTAAAGGCTTAATTATCGGATCAGTGAACAATTTTCGTAGAAATAATAAAAATATGGCCTCTTAATTACATACATACATGCTTTATTATTTATTTCTTACTATGATACATTATTTCCCATAAGCTGTTCTTCTGATATCATATTTAAAATTGTGATATTTACGTCTCGTGCCTTTGTGAGATTGAGGCTGGGATTATTGTACGTCTCAATTGTGTAACTCGTAAATTTGCTACTGTACTTTTCTCACTTAAGCGGACTTGGAGTGGACCATCAGGGAAAAATCTGCTAGAGAAAGTAACTTCGCCAATCCCATAAATTATTTCAACTGAACTAGCATCAACATATATACTTATTTCCAGCATACTTCTTGGTTTCCATTCAGTGCTGCGGACACCATCTTCCCCACCGCGGTCAAGACTCACGATACCCGACTGGGCATCATAAGAAATTGTAACCGCTGAACGATTATTTACATCGCTATCCGAGATTTGTGGTTCAATTGTTAAACTTATATTTTGTTTTCTTGATGCCTTAATATTGATTTCAGCAGCATTATTCTCCAAAAGGACTACAATACCACCAGAAGATTTTCCGCTATAAATCGTTCGACCTTGAGCCGATTTCATTTCTGGTAAAGGCCTTTGTACTAAGCGGCCGTCTTTTGTCAGGGATAGTATTCTAGGTATTGTCATTTGGCCGGTGAAACCATCAGGTCCTTCAGGATAATTTTGTTCCCACATGTCCATCCAGGCTATAACAATTCTACGTCCTTTACTGTCTAAAATAGTTTGCGTAGCGTAAAAATCGTGTCCATGATCCAATTCTTGGAATTTTTTTATAGGTTTAAATATCTTTGTAGAATAATCGAAATCTCCTACAATATACCCAGTTTGATAAAGGTTTCTATATTTGTTACCTTCAGGCCGCATCCCTTGTGGAGAGAAAAGTAAAATAAAATGACCATCAAGCTCGAAAAAATCGGGGCACTCCCACATAAAACCGAGATACCCATCCGATTCGTCCAAAATAGAGACTTGTTTCCAAGATATTTTATCATCTGAAGCATAGAGAAGAACTCTTCCAAGGGTATCATTATTGAAAGAATTACCTAAGACCATGTAATATGTACCACCATGTTTCCAAACTTTTGGATCTCTTAAATTGGGTTGATGTTCTTCTCCAATTATTATTGGGTTTTTTTCGTACTTCTTTACCGTAATACCATCTGTGCTGATAGCTAAAGCTTGCCGTTGTTCGTGGTCGGGGTTTTCCCCTGGATGGTTTACATTTCCTGTATAGTAAAGGTACATTGTATTATTCTCAACAATGGCACTACCTGAAAATACTCCACTCTTATCGTAGCTTTGATCGGGATACATCGCGATAGGAAGATGTTCCCAGGAGACTAAATCTTTACTTTTGGCATGGCCCCAATGAGCTATGCCTGGCTCTAAGCTACTTTCAGGATTATACTGATAAAATAGATGGTATTCTTTTTTAAAATAACAGAATCCATTGGGATCATTCATCCATCCAAATGGCGGAGCTAAGTGGTAACGCGGGTAGTAACGATCGTTGATTTGCGTTGATTTGGTCCTGTAAAGAAATAAAAAAGCCGTTAAAAATATAAAGCAAAATGTTCCCATTGTCACAAACTAAGATGAAATTGATGATAAGATTAGATTTAATGTAGTTGTAGTGTTGTGTCTCTTGATTGTTACTTTAAAATAATCAAGAGACACAACACTTACTAATAAAAAAAATGTCATAAAGTTTTGTTATCTGAATTTGCTACGGTCGTGGTTTCAAAGGTAAATTATAGTAGATAGTTTTCATATGACTTCTGTCATTGTACTATAAGATTATTTAAAAAAAGTATATTTTTTGAATTATTAATATCATTAAGCATATCAATATAAACACTATACTAAGTTTTAAAAATCATATTATGTGATTATTTTGATTTTGAAATGCTTAAAATTTACATAATAAAAGGATTATTTTCACCCTTATTTAGAATTTGCTAGTTTGGATTTCATAAATTCAGACCAAGTTTATGTATAACTTTGTAACGCGTTGCTTTAGATAGAAATTTTGGTATTGTGGTAAACATCAGTCACTGATGAGAAGAGGGGCTATACTGATAACACAAGTATATTAGGACTATTGTATACCCATGTTATTTCTAGAGTAGGTTCATTTGACGCATAAATTATTTCAACATACTTCATTCATTTCTTTTCTCTACACTTATTCAATTATAGCACGAAGAATGTATGTATATATAAATGAGTCTGAGAAATTTCTAGGCAGGCAAATATTTTATGTAAGAAACTATTTTATTAAATCTAAGTTAATATAACTGTACTCAAGGTATTTTCAATATTAAAATAACAAAAACGCAGAAAGCATTGCATCTATACATATATATGTTGTAACGAATACGTGTGATCAGTATTCTGATTGGTTCAAAAACCTTGTTATTAATGGCTAGCATGCACTTCTAAAGATCCCGAGGTCCTATGTTTGACTCTAAGGTCAGGCCAAGAATAAATATTAAATTCTTTGTAGAGAATAAATAAAAATAATGAAATGCATTTACGCCCACCACCTGTATACATACAGGACTAGGTGGTTATGTGGAACTCACTGGTAAGGAAAGCCAGTTATACCCACTAAAACTTAACAGAACCTCCCTATCTTAATGGGGCATCGCCAGATCACTTACGCACTCAACCATGACACCCCGATCGTACTACTAAGGGGCAGCACTAGTTTGATTAGGTTAGGTTTTCGCAGATATGCCCCCGATGTTTTTTTTTTTTTTTTTATTTTTTTTTTTAGAGAGTTATTAGTTGTTTGTGTGACTCGCGGTGCTAATGGGTTACACCACGAGGTACAACATGTTTAGGTTTGCGGCTGTGTTATGACGTTTGTTCCATTGAACTCTTTTAAACAGTTGACAATGCCAGTCAAGAGCTCAACAAACGTTCCAATTGTGGACTCGTTGGTAATGATTAGGGAGAGATCAAAATGATCTATATCAAAATAGTTGCATGTGAGTGCATGTTTTGAACGTAGAGATGAGAAGCGAGGGCATTCCGCAAAGAGATGCCTCCAGGTTTGTGGCATGGATCCATCGCACGGACAGGAGTCCTCGCCGACGATATTGAACCTGTGGAGGTACTCCTTGGGGAAGCCATGATTGGTTAGAAATTGAGTAACTGCAAAGACAGGTTTTATGGAATGAAGAAATTCTAGAAGGGAAGAGTAAGAAGGAAGAAGGGATTTGGTGTATAGGCAATGGGCGGGATTTTCATACAGTTCTTGAGATGCGGAAGAACATTTGAGTTTATTAAGGTATTTAATATGGCTAATAGGTACAGCATAGTAGTCAGGGGAGCGGTGGAGATTGGCTGCCGCTTTAGCTGCAGCATCCGCCTGTTCATTTCCATCAAGTCCTACATGAGCTTTAACCCAGGCGAACTCAACGGAAAGTCCAGATGATCGGACTGAGTGTATGCTCTTATGGATGCTGACAGCAAAAGAGTTGTGACTATTGCGATTGGATAATTCTGTAAGCCCAGACATACTATCAGAAAGAACTATGGTTTTTGAAAGTTTTTTAACTAAAATGAATTTACAGGCCTCCTGAATAGCAAGTAACTCCGCCTGGAAGACAGAACAACAATCATGAAGCTTGAGCTTTCTTACCGCAGTCCGCCTCCCAGATGGGTCGAAGACTACGAAGGCTGCTCCTACTTTATCGGCATGCTTACTGCCATCTGTATAAATTTTCCGTTTGTTTAGCTTGTTGTAGGTAGGACTCATTAGCGTCCGGCATCACAGCCGGGCGTGCAGCCAAGAGGCGAACTGGGAGGTGGCCCACTTCGGTGGGCGGTGTACCATGTAGGTTGCTTTTGGTACTTTTCTGATAGCAATTCTGCTATGCTTAGCTAGATCATGGGACCGACCTCGGCGTTGAGTCAGAGGCGTTTGAGTGCGTAAGTGATCCTGCAATGCCCCATCAAGATGAGGATAGTTTCATTTGGTTTCAGTTAGTAGAAGTCTCACATTACAGTCGCAGCGAACGGCAGGGCTATGATGAGATTCCCAGTGAAAACAAAAAAGTACATTCAGTTATTCCTTTTCACCTTATCTTAAGAGTAGATTTTAATTTCAAATTTATTATATTTTATACCCTATCTAATAAAAAAGGATTATCAAAATTAGTCTACTCTATAAGAGGTTAGCCTTAGTAAGTAAAATAATAATAGGTCGACTTGAGAACCTGGGAGTTATTTTTACTGAACTTTTGATATAAATAAATTATTTCTTTGAAATTTTCTTTTATATAAAAAAATCAGAATTTCATTCTTTGTCCTCATTGAAGCTTTGAATTTTATATTCTGTACTGTTATTTTCTATGTTTTAACGGACGTTTCGTCTTCAATGTAGCCGACTTCAAAAAAGAAGGAGGAACTATATTCAGAGTGTATAAATTTTTCTGTTCGATTTTCGATTAATCTGATTAGTTCATATTATATTATAGTAATAGTATAGTAGTTAGAAAAAGTTATGGCATTATAATTATTTAACTAATAAAAACAAAGTTACAACAAGTACAGTACAAACACCATTTTCTTCTAGTTTTATTTTTGGTATCATGAAGTCGGTTTACATTTTTTGTAAAGTTTTTATAGAAAAGCAATTATATTAAAAACGTTATCATTTGAAAATAATTGTTTTTAAAAAACCATTCACATTATCTCCAAGTTCTAAATTACTTGTATCCAAAAATTCCTCATAGTTATATTACCTATTTTCATAAATAATACAGCTTTTTCTCTAGTGATATTTTAGTGTCTTTATTAATAGTGCATTATCTTCAGAACTTAAATTTTTAGCTGTTTTTTCCATAGTTTTAGTATATATAAATAAATAGGTCTACAATTACTCATAAATAGAATAATGGTATCTACTGTGTATTGTTTGAGGGGTATATGCGCAAGATATAAATTCTTGCTTGCTTCTGCTCGACTGTATATTATACGTCTTTCTGTATATTAAGCCTCAGTAACAGCCCGGAGTTGGGAAGTTGGCGGTGTTTCACCCCCGTGCCTCTGAGAGCACGTAAAGCCGTCGGTCCTGCGCCTCAACTCTCACTGGTTGTGTCGAGCAGTCGTCCCACCGGAGTATGAGAGTGACAGGAATAGAGAGTGCACGTTGTGTCTGCGCGTACACTTGTGCACTATAATATCTCCTGCGCAGTTGGCTAGTCTCATTGAGATTGGTCACCGTGGCCAGAATCAGTCAGAAGAACATAATTATTATTTATATATGTATGAATGTTCTATAACATGAATCCCGTCGTACATGGGTGAATTTCAATTAAGAATATTATAACTAATTGAATGCGGGGTGTAGTCCTGAATATGGGGAAGGGTGTAAGCTGTATAGTAAATACATTCATAAACGTTCATCTAGAATCCTGCAAAGCTAGAATCTTTGGTACAATTTAGAGATAAGAATGACGATAAGTGTCATAATGACATGTTTAATGGCATTCCTAATGTGCTTACGCCAGACATTGTATACTTACATTTACAAATCTTCTTGCTTTGTTCTTGTGAATCATTTGTTATATTATATTAGACCATATTCTAAGGCTTCACACTCCTACACTATTGTAGGAAAAAAGATGATCGTATCATCTTTTTTAATCATTTAGGGTCGATATTCATTTGGATTTGATTATTGACGAATTAAACTGAATCGTGATAAAATCTATTGAATGAATGAGAACATGATAAGATTTTACCAGATCAAGACCAGACTGAGATTGAACTGTTATTGGCACTATAGTGTGGGTCCATTCTTATAGTTTAGCAGCGAAATATTTCTGAGATAATTGAGTCACCTGAGAAATCCGTCGTTTTACAATTTTACTTTACAAATTCAGTCATTTAAAATATTAATTATCTAAGATTTAGACATGAGATTCCTTGTATATAGCTTACTGAACACTATTCAATGGGCGTCAGATTTATTATTTGCCTAGGGCTAATAGTGTTTATGCCAAATTCATTGAAATAAATAGTAAAAAAAATCAAGTAATATTATTATAAATTGAGAAATAATACCTGAAGATAAAATTTAAAAGCAAATATAAAGCGCCAGGTTTATTAATTTATAATCTCTTCATTTAGCTATTCTAGAATTAAAATAGAAATTATGTTTAAATTATACAAACATACAGCTTAAATATTTAACTTATAATAATTATTCTTTATAAGAAAATGGCTACCTTGTGAATGGATTGTGAATGTCATTGTCACATAATAAGAGTCGTGCTTCTTATTTTATTTGTCCATATTCCTTTACTGGTCTTTGTATTTTCTTAAAATCTGCAAGGCTTATTATTTTAATTAAGACATAGGTACCTATAATAGTAAAAAAATCATTTTTTTATGCTTATTGCTTAGATTATCGTATATCACTAGTGCTCGTCCAGTTAAGGTACTAAACTTTGTTTTCTTTGGCTTTATAATATATTAGCGACTCATTACCGCTTCGCTCGGGTTCGTCCCTAGGTTGTTTTCCCATACAGACTTTCATCCCCCTTTTCAACAACACCTTAAGGGATGATTTCCTTGATAAAAACTATCCTTTGACTTTCCCAGGTTATCAAACTATTTTCTTACCAAATTTCATCTAAATCGGTTTAGTAGTATCGGAGCTTATTCGGTACAAACAAAAAACAAAACAATCTTTCCTTTTTATAATATTAGTATAGACTAGTATAGATAAATTAAAGCATCGTATACAGTGCCTAAGAGATGTTGCGTTGTGTAAGTTATAAATTCTGTAACGGTATCAAGTATAAATGAGTTAATATTTAAAACTACAATAATAATATTAGGGATCAAATATACGGTATATGTTTATGTTCAATTTATTTACATTAAAGTTTACCAAATTTAGTAGATATTTAATAAGAATATAAAGAAAATATTCACCGATTAGATGTGAGGCTTCTATTAAATATGTTTTCTTTACAATATAATCATATTTCGTCAAAACTTCATCATTAGAGAGAGATAGAAAATAATTAATAGTATATGTTCATAATAATATATAATATGTCGGCGCGTCTCCCTCTATCCGGGCGCGTGCAGTATACGCCGAGCGGGCGGATTCCCAGCCCTACCGTGAGCGCATCTCAGTTCTCACCGCGGCGATTCACTTGGCCTACCTGCACGCTGGGCTGCGGGCATTTCTTAATACAATCATTTTTGGGGTTTAAACACTAACATGCAAGATGTGCGCCGTAAGGTATTAAATTGTGATTATGATTTTATTTTCCTAACTGAGACCTGGCTAAATAGTACTGTATTTGATTCCGAGATACTCGATGATAGATACTTAATTTTTCGGCGTGATCGTGAAACAAGTCAATTGTCCTCACATAAAAAAATAGGTGGTGGTGTTTTGATCGGCATCTCAAAAAGCTTAGTCTCGCGTCGTCGTCTTGATTGGCAAAGTGATCTGGAGGATCTTTGGGTATCGGTCGAATTAAACTTAGGAAAATATCTTAAAACATTACACATATGTGTGGTTTATCTTCCTCCCCCCGTAGATCTAAATACCTTAGAAATGTTTACCGAAAATGTCAGTAGAGTTATTTCTACTCACGATGACTTTTGCACAACCATAATATTGGGTGATTTTAATCTGCCAAGCATTCCCTGGTTTAGCCCTACTGGTCATGAATCCCACTCTAGTAATAGCTCACCTTTAAATAATTTGTTACTGGACTTTGTCAACTTCAATAGCTTATATCAGTGCAACAAAATTAAAAATATAAAAGGCAATATATTGGATCTAATCTTAAGTAATAGTAACGTAATAAAAGTTTGTGAATGCCAGACACCAATACGTAAAGTGGACTCATATCATCCTCCTCTAGATATATCAATCAATATAGAATTGAGAGAACCTAATGAATTTAATACCTCTAAAAATATTTATAATTTTTTTAAAGCGGACTATAAAAGCATTATAGCAGCGCTTGATAATGTTGACTGGCTCACAGAATTCAGATACTGTCTTGATAATGTTAACGAAATGATTAACCGGTTCTAAATTATACTATCCGATATTATCCAAAAATATGTACCTAAAACGCCAAAATCTCGAAAATCATATCCTATCTGGTTTACTAAAAATCTTATAAGTATAATAAAGAAAAAATATAAATACCACGTTAAGATAAAACGTTTTGACAATCCCTTGGATAGACTGGAATTTCAGTACTTAAGAAAAGACTGTGATGCTCTTATAAATAAATGCTATAGCAACTATATCACTCTTATTAAAAATGAAATAACTAGAAATCCTAAATATTTCTGGACACATATGAAAAACATCCGAAAAAAGAGTAGCTCATATCCCACATCCATGTACCTAAACGATTTAAAGGCAACCAATAAGAGAGACATTTCGAACTTGTTCTCCAAGCATTTCTCATCTGTTTATGAAAAGGACATTAGTACTGATAGTGATACTGCGTCAGTACCGAAACCGTACGTGGGAAATATTTTTTTGTCACAAAGTGATGTAGAGAGGAAGCTAAAAAGACTTGATACCTCAAAAAGTCCGGGCCCTGATAATATTCATCCTTTCTTTATCTTCCAATGTGCCAAAGAATTATCTTTTCCCCTATACTTAATTTATAATGCATCCTTGCGAACTGGAGTTTTTCCGGCAAAATGGAAGGAGGCTAGAATAGTGCCTGTGCTTAAAGGTGAAAACCCCTCCGTAGTTGAAAACTATCGCCCGATTTCGATTTTATCAGCTATGTCAAAAGTCTTTGAGAGTATTGTGTACCAATTAATATTTGCTAAAGTTAAACCTAACATCATCGAATCTCAACATGGATTTATATCTGGCAGATCCACTAATACAAATCTCATCACTTATGTCAATGAAATTATAAAAGTAGTAGATGAAGGTGATCAAATTGACGCCATTTATACTGACTTTTCAAAAGCTTTTGACAAAGTTAACCACACATTATTAATCAAACAACTGGAGTCCCTTGGTATAACTGGTAATTTGTTAAGTTGGTGTAGGTCTTATCTCCTTTTGAGATCATCCAGTGTCGTAATTGATGGACACCAATCTAACTCGTTTACTGCATATTCTGGAGTTCCTCAGGGATCTATTCTGGGTCCTGTCTTTTTAACGTTTTTATTAATAGTATTGCGTCTATATTTAAATATTCTAAAGTCTTTATGTACGCAGATGATCTTAAATTGATACGCAAGATTAAAACGTACTCAGACGTCATGTGTCTGCAGAAAGATTTGGACGAACTACGTAATTGTTGCAATAACAATAATATGTATTTGAATGCGAAATAGTGCTATCATATTCAGTTCACACGAAAAAAACATAAGATAAAAAGCGAATATTATATATCTGGTGCTCCTATTTGTAAAGTTGACGTTATTCGTGATCTGGGTGTCTTTTTGGATTCCAAATTACAATTTGCTGCTCACATTGAGCATATAGCGAGTGCTGCGCTCAAATCATTGGGGTTTGTTCTTAGAAATGCAAGAGAGTTTAAAAAAATCTCAACTGTTATAACACTCTTTAATTGCTTTGTGAGAAGTAAGTTGGAGTATTGCTCTGTAGTCTGGTCACCTCATTACAGTGTTCATGTAAACAGAATTGAGAAAATACAAAAAAGATTCGTAAAATTTATGACATACCACTTTAAAATACCTCAGTCATACTGTAGTTATGAAAACAAATTGCAATCTTTGGGTCTACTCTCGTTACAGTCGCGACGTAAGGTACTGGATATGATGTTTTTACATAAAGTTTTAAATAATGTAATTGACTGCCCGCCGTTGCTCGCTTTAATCGACTTTAACTTACCCGTAAGGATTCCAAGGAAACATGCCCCTCTCTTTCGTACTAAGAGGCATAGGACCATCTTAGGAAAAAATACGCCTCTAAATAGGTTAGCACGCACATACAATGATATATCGTTAAAAAAGGGAATTGACATCTTGCATGATAGCCGGTAGTTTTAAAAATAAAATTTTGAGTATACTTAATTGAATGGAATGTAATGAATTTTTCATACTCTTTCTTTATTCCTCAATTATATAAATCACATTCATCGTATCGCCCTATATGTAATATAATAAATTCACAATGTAATCTATAGTATATTTAATTTTTAATTAATTGTTCTATTTTATTTGTCACAAAAATTTATTAACTGTGTGTAATTGTATACATTTTTATTGTCCTTTAAGATGTTAATGTTGTACTAATTTAATAGCATGCTGTAATTACCTCTAATTAAAAGTGCAATCATCATGTTTCTATAGTAACGAAATTATATGTAATTTATTATTGTAACTTTTGTTGGTAATTCTAAAATAAAATAAATAAATAAATTTTATTATACGTAATTTATATACAGTCCACTGCATTTATTTAAAGTCCCGTTAAGGCTTAATCATATGGTCCTTCGAGCCAGATTGACGTAATCAATAGATATGTGCTGTTTGAATACAATGACAGGAAAAATTCTTTTGGTTTTATATATAAAAGATTATAAAAAGCTAATAATAAACCAATTTAAAACGCAAATAATATAAACCGTTACTGTTTTATCAAACTAATTGATAAGTAGATATAAAATTAATATAGTCTCCTACAATTAATGAACACCATGAAATCTTACAACTCGTACATATCGACTAACAAATATCGTAACTAAATCTATTTATTTTATTAAAGTTTAAGAAATTTTACAATTTTATTTTGAATTCCTGAATAAGAATAGATATATGTGGGTAAATAAAAGAAAAAAATAATCTGTGAAGTTAAATCCACAAGAAAATCCCTAAGGACAAACTAGGTATATAATGTGTACTATACTTGTCTAAGTATACCTATTCCTTAGACAAGGCAAGTTAAACTGAAATTGAAACGAATTTCTTAGCCATCTTTTATTTATTTTCTATTTCATAATCAGGAACATTAAAAATCCTTGAAAAACTGAAAATTCCATATTATTATAATGTGTATGTATTTAAATCCAAATAAATATATGTGTAGTTTATCAACTATGTGGTATACAAACCACAAGCCTCGTAGCTTACCATGGAACTATAAAACATTATATTTTAGACGGTGCTGTGTGTTAATGTCCCAACATATTTATTATTATATAATAAATATGTTGGGACAATGAAATATGTTGTTATGAATAACTGTGCTGTAAGCTCCTCGCCTTCTCCCGCACCTCCAATCAAACATGATCGTAATCGCAACAAATTCATCCAAAACAAAATATGTGACGGAGATCTTAAAGGTGCCGCTTGCCTTTTGTTCTCCAACGACGTGCTATCACCAGATACCCCTGACACCCTTCAGGCCTTACGGACAAAACACCCTCCAGCTCCAGTAAACCCATTTTTTCTCGACCCACCAACAGCAGTGCAAGAATGCCTTAAAATTCAAATCAAAGATGTTGCGGATGCCATTTTATCTTTTAAACCAGGTTCGGCTGCGGGTTTGGATGGAATCTCACCCCAACATTTGAAAGACTTAACATCGTATTCTGTGGGTGATGCAGGTGAGCAACTTGTAAACTCGATCACTAAATTAATCAATTTTATGTATTCCGGTAATGTCAATCCAGAAATTGTTCCCATTCTTTTCGGCGCGAACCTCATCGCCCTCACCAAAAAGGACGGAGGGGTGAGACCAATTGCTGTTGGATCAACACTTCGACGTCTGGCCTCCAAAATTGCTATTCGACATATTTTACCAAAATTAATTTCGGAATTTGAACCCGTACAGTTAGGTTTCGGTGTAAAAGGAGCCTGTGAGGCAGCCGTCCATGCCTTACGCTCTTTCCTAACTTACGCCCAGCCTGACGTGTTGCTCAAAATTGACGTCAAAAATGCTTTCAATTCGGTAAATAGGGATACCCTGCTGACAGAAATAAAACAGCATATACCGGAAATATACAATTATCTTCTTCTCAGTTACGCTGACCCAACAAAATTATTATATCATTCTAATGAACTATCCTCGGAAGTAGGTTGTCAACAGGGTGATCCCCTTGGGCCTGCAATTTTTAGTTTGGCTATAAATCCGATAATTAAAAAATTAAATTCTAAATTCAACGTCTGGTATTTGGACGACGGAACTCTAGGAGGTGATGTGGATACTGTGTTTTCGGACCTTTTTTTAATCAAAAATAAATTTGAAGCCATTGGTTTGGAACTTAATTTTAGCAAATGCGAACTTTTTATAAATAACTGTGACTTAAATTTAAATGATGTAAAACAAAAATTTAATATTATGGCTCCAAATATTAAAATAGTTAACAGTAATTCCCTTTACCTTTTAGGTTCTCCAATTTTTGATGAATCTATTTCGGAATATATTAATAATTCAATCACTAAATTTCAAAATTCTTTTGACCGTCTCCTTGAAATTAGTCCACATTATGCACTTTGCATCTTAAAATGCTGTCTTTTCGTCCCAAAATTTACATATGTGCTCCGTTGCTGCTCCTTTTGGAATCACCCAGATCTTTTAACACAAGTAGACGACTTAATCAAAATCAGCTTAGAATCGATTCTTAATATGCAACTGAACGAGCAATCTTGGACCCAAGCATCCCTACCTATCCGTTATGGTGGTTTAG